GGTCTCGGGTACAACAGGTGGTGTTTTGGACGGCGAAGAGATTAACCCCGTATTTTCAGGCTCACCGGATTGTTGTGCTCACCAATGAGCCTTTGGCGTCACTTACCCGGAGCCCGGTGGCATCTGCCCGGATGACTAGCTAAGTGGGCAGTCTTCATCAGTCAATACAATGTGGAGTTCAGGCCGCGCCCATCAATCAAAGGGCAAGCACTAGCTGATTTCCAAGTCGAGCGTATTGCCAGGGAGATGACAAGAACACAGGCCGATACCCGGGTAGAGGACGACTGGTGGGTAATGAGCATCGATGGATCTTCGGGGTCTCGATCTTGTGGAGCAGGTATTGTTTTGATTACTCCAGAAAATTTCCGGATCTATTATGCTATAAGATTTCAGTTCCGCGTATCCAACAATGAGGCTGAATACGAGGCCCTGATCAACGGGCTGAAGATTCTTGGCAAGTTGGGAGTGTCCAGGGTTCAAGTATACAGCGACTCCCGACTGGTGGTGGGACAAATCACTGGGGAGTTTGAAGCAAAGGAAGAGAGGATGAAGAGGTATCGAGACTTGTCCTTGGATATGTTGGGAAGGTTTGAGTTTAGGCTTGAACATATACCCCGGGCCCAGAACGCGGAAGCTGATGTTCTATCCAAGCTCAGCGCAGAATCACCAGAGTACATAAGAAAATTAGCAACTGTGGAGGAGCTGGCAACCCCGAGTCTTAACAAAGATGAAATGTTCTGGGTGTCAGCCGATCCTCCTGAATGGTTGGACAGGTTGGCTAAATACATTGAGGACGGCGTAGCCCCGGAGGATCCCCAAGAAGCGCATTTGCTGCGAATGAGCGCACCCACCTACAAGGTGCACGATGGAGTCCTCTATAAGCGATCTTATAACGGTGTTTTACTCCGCTGCCTCATGGCAGCGGAGGCAAAGGCATTGATGGAAGAGATACACGAAGGCGTATGTGCTGCACATCAGGGTCCATACTCTATTTCCAGAAGGGCGATTATCCAGGGATTTTTTTGGCCAACGATGAGAAAGGATTGCGAAGAGTATCTGCGCAAGTGCCCAACCTGCCAACAATTCAAGAATATGCCCGGGAGGCCAGCCACGAACTACACGCCCATCAGCTCTGTGATTCCCTTCTCAAGATGGGGGATTGATATTGTGGGTGCCCTGCCAAAAGAGGTTGGGCAGGCAAGATGGATCGTGGTGGCCATAGACTATTTTACCAAGTGGGTGGAAGCTGAGCCACTTGCCGGGATAACTGGGAGGCAGATGATTGACTTCTTCGGAACTAATATACTTTGTAGGTTTGGAGTCCCGAAACAGATCATATCTGACAATGGAACCCAGTTTGAGGAAGCAGAGTTTCAAGACTTCCTCAAAACTTGGGGAATTCAGCATACGAAAGTGTCTGTAGCATACCCTCAGGCTAATGGACAGGTGGAGAACGTCAACAGGACAATCATAAGTGGGATAAAAAAGAAGTTGCTTTCAGAAGGAAGTAAATGGGTGGATGAACTACCTAGAATCCTGTGGACATATAGGACAACTCCAAGGAGGGCTACGGGCGATACTCCATTTGGTTTAGCCTATGGTTTCGAAGTCTGGGCTCCTGCTGAGGCGGTAATCCCTACCAGGAGAGAGATAGAATATGACCCGGAAGTGAATGAACAGAATCAGGCCGTAGAACTGAACTTCGTAGAGGAACGAATGGATGAAGCACAGATCCGGGCAGAGAATTATCGTCGTCAGGTGAAATCTTACACTACAAGAAATATGATCTTTTATGGCTAACTTTTAGTAGCAAAATAAATATTTGCCACTATATATAAAAAGTCTTTTAATATTTGTGGCAATTTAAAATTTGCCACAAAATAGTATACTTACTGTAGCAAATTTATAAAGTTGCTACTATACCTAAAATATTTAGGAGGGAAATTAATCAAATTATTAATGAATTAATTTTTAATGAAAACTTACTCCCGCCTAACCCAAAATTAGCCCAAAACTATTCCCTCAATCCTTATTGCCGCTACACCTCCCTCTCTCAAGTCTCACCCCTTTGTTAGTTCGTCTCTCTCAAGTCTGCTCTTCGTCGCCTCTTTTCCTCTACAGGCCGAAATTCCAAGACATCTTTCGCCAGGACAGGTATTCTCTCTAATGGTTCTTTTTTTTTGTTTTTTCGAAAGGTCGGCGTGAATTTGTTCTGCAATCGCATCTCTTGGTTCGATTTTCCTTCGATTTTTCTGCAATTGCATGTGTTCATTTGATTTTTCTTCGATTTTTCTTCAATCGCTTCCTCTGCAATCACCTAAGCTGGAATCAAGACTACTGCAATCCCGCCTCTCAAGCTTCAGCCTAGGTTATCAACTTTCACTCTTTCTCTGCTTAATTTGTTTTTCAATTTTAGATTGTTTAAGTTTGGTCCTCACCTGTTGTTTTTCTTATCCTTAAAATCAGATTACTTCGCAGTCCTGAAATCGCTTTAAGTTCTCGAATTTCAGGTATATTAACACACCCTTTCTCCAGTTTCCAGTTTGATTTTGATTTCCAGTTTACACTCCAGGTGTCTAAATCAAATTTTTATTCCTTACGATTATTACTTGTTGGGTTATGATGAATTCTGGAAGGAACTAGAAATTGTGGGCATGAGAGAGTAACATGAAAATTAAGGGGGGTTTCTAATTCAGTGGCTCATGTTAATATGGGATTCCAATCCAGCCTATCAGTTTTAGAAATGCTACATGAACCAAGAAGGGAAACAAGTTCTGTCTGTTTCTTCCTTTGTGTTCTTCCATCCATTCCAAGAGTTCTTCCATTCAAGCTAATAGCCATTGACATTTTTTATTGTGCACAAAAAAGGACTACTACTCTGCACAGAGACCACTATTCTTCTCTGTGCATAATTCAATCTGTAATTACTAATCCGTGTGTACTATTAAGCACAAGAGCCATCTACAGACTACCACTGCTTTTGATTAATTATTCGTCACATTCACAGTTAAACTACTATTTTAAAATGTTAAGGTGAAGTCTGGTTTTGAAGCTTTTATTTGGATGTTCACAAATTTGGATGTTGTGATTATGAAAATCACGGTAATTTGGATGATTTCGTTCTTTTTCATACTCTCTCTATCCCAAATAAACTTGTCACTTTCTTTTTTGAGAAGATAGTAATGATTCCTTTTGCGACAAGTGTATATAGATTTAATTGTGTATGTAGATACACAATGATTCCTTTTGCGACAAGTGTATATAGATTTAAAACATCATGGTCAACAAGTGCATATAGATTTAATTGTCTATGATTCCTTTTGCGACATGGATTTGTTATTAATTCAAACTATTTTACCTTGACAGTTAGTGATATATAATTTTTTTGATTGATATTAGATGAAATGTTTGAAGCCTCTTCGAATCCGGAAATGACCAAGCTTACAAGTATGGGGCATATTACTAGAGGAAGTATGCTATTTTCTAATAAAATTTGTGTTACACTGTATGTTGGTTTTATTTTATAAATACATTCTTCACTTGTTGTTATTAGAAGAAACGGGTGTGTCTGGACTAGAAAGCATTAACAAGCATCGCATTCATGGATATAATTTGAATGGAGGTGCATCTGAAAGGCAAGCTTCAATAACAAGATCAACCACGTCACAGAATGATTTTGTTAGAGTCCATGAAAGAGGTAGTGGTTCATTAAATTTTATTCTAGTCGGATTGTTATTAGAGCAAGTATGCTATATTTTCTAATAAAAATACATTTTTTATTCTCTTGTAATTTATTAGAAGAAACAGGTATGTTTGAAGTAGAAAGCCTTAACCAACATCATACTCATGGAAGTAATTTCGATGGAGGTGAATTTGATAGACGTGCCCCACCAACAAGATCAACCACTTCACAGAGAGATTTTCTCAGGGTCCATGAAAGAGGTAGTGGTCTCTCAGGGTACATTTTCTCAGGGTACATTTCAAGAACAGATCATTCTGAAAATGAGGCCATTTTGGCACAATTACTCTGGTTATCACATCAACAGGGGACTTACTTTCTAAAAAGAAAAGGTTTCTAGAGAGATTTTGTAGTCTCTCAAGAAGGGGCAGTGAATACTTATTAATATCAGTTCTAAATAACAAGATCACCAGCATACATATCAAACATGGTGATCATTCTACTCAAAACCATGCCCCGATATCACTTGACTTGTGAAAAAAATGCACTGTCTTGTCTCTAGAGTTTAATAAGTTTCGTGGACCATGATAAAAAAAACCTATATTTTGTTTTGATTTTAAAAATATGTGATTTATTCTCTTCTTATTTATTAGATGAAAGATGTGTGTCTGAAGTAGCAGGCCTTCATGACTGTCGGACTCGTGGAGACATGGATGGAGTTTCGTTTGAAAGACAAGCTCCAAGAACAATATCAATGACTTCACAAAGAGAAATTCTCCCACTCCATGAAAGAGGTAGTGGCTCATTTCTATTTATTTCTTCTCGCTGTAGTTCATTCTAATTACAATTCGCCGACATAGACTTAGTAATTGTGTATGTATTATTGAACTGTCATATAGGTAGAAGTACCAATATCTCAATGAATACAAGTGTTGGGGATGAAAATCATATGAACTCATCCGTACAACAAGGTTTGTTATCGCTTCATTTCATTTAAGTTTTTCACATGCTGGCAGGTACACGAATAGTAATAGTAGACTAATAATAATTTTTTTGAAAGTATATAGTTCATTGATAAGGTAGTCATTCCAAAGTTAATAGTTTGTTTCTCAGCCTAATACTTGTCATTAACTTTTGTTGTTGTCATTGTTCTAGCTACTCCAGTACTTCGTGGGAAAACAAAGTGTCAAAACTAGAAGAGAAAAAGGGATATCATTCCAAACAAAGTGGAGATTGAAATCCCACCTGAGCTTAATCGTGTTGTTGGGATGAACAGCACTCAATTTATTAGTGAAGCGAGTTATTTGATGAAACAATGCATGCCTTTGGATGTAGAGAATTGGGGTCATACACATCCCGATAAAAAATGGAAGTATTTCATGAAATTAAAGGTTGTTATTTAAATATGTTATTGTGTAGATAATGATCATAGAGATAAAGATTAACACTTTTAATATATGTAGGAATTATTTAAATTGCCTGAAGGGCGTCATGTAGAAAAAACAATCAAAAGGCGAGCAAACACCTGGTATAGAAAGTGGCGTTACAATTTGAGAAAAAAAGCCTATTCTGATCATCCAACAGTCGCTGGTCGTCTTGCTAATTGTCCTAGTGATGTAGATCCTGAAGAATGGAAATGGTTGGTGACTTACTGGGATAGGGAAAAGTTTAGGGTACGTAAAGATACATGTTAATGTTGTTCTTTCCATGGCCATGCAAATTGTAAATGAAAAATAATATTCATATTTTAAGCATGGTTAGTTTTTCCTTTTCGTGTTTGGAAATGCAGCGACGCAGTGAGACCAACAAAAACAATCAGAAGTCTCAAACAATGTTTTCTAAAGTTGGCACAAAATCAATTGCAAGTTCCTTCTACGATATGGTAAAATGTATTTGCATTTAATATTTCAATTTCTTTTGAAGTTCATTTTTTTAAATCCTAGTGGGTAAACCACCAAGCTTGGATTCTAGTCCCTCATACGGAAGACAAACCTTCTGGGGAATACAATAGGGTAAGGGGGATAAACCTAGAAAAAGGCTTGACCAAAGCCACAATAAGGTCCTAGCTAATAGCAGCTCACTTTTTTTTGCACTTCAATTGCAATTTTTTTCTTCAGTTTCTATATTTCGTTCACCTTTTTTTTTCAGTTTTCACTTTTCAATTTTCACTTTTTTCACTTTTTTCGTTCGCTTACTTTTTTCACTCTTTCATTCTCTCTGCTTACTTTTTCCTGTTTTTTTCTCAGCTTTATTCTATTTTTTTGTGGTTTTTTATTTTCTTTTTTTTTGTGATTTTTCTGGTTATTTTTTTCTGTTATTGTACTCTGTTTTTTTTGTGATTTTTTCTGTTCTTTGATTAGTTCGTTGCATTTATATAAGATGATGTTACGTAGAAGTTTCGTCCAAGAGTGTTTATTTAATTTTAAAATTTTACATTTAAAATTTAAATAAATTCTAATAAATTAAATTTAAAAAAATTAGAATTGAGGTAAAAATAATTTTGTATGTATATTTTACGCATGCATATAAAAGCCCGTGCAAACCACAAGAGTAAAAATTAGTAAGAATATAATGTGAAAGATAGTTTCATATAAATACATCCTAAACAAATAAAAAAATAATCACAAGGATATTTTAGTAATTTTATTTTTTCCCTACCTCACGTTACCTAATAAATATCCAAACACAATTTTTTAACTCATTACCTTACTTTACCTACCTTCAGTTACCTACCTTCTATTACCTACCATTACCTACCTAATAAAACTTTTACCTACCTCCAACCAAACATACTCTTAGAGTTGCATGTGGCTGCTCAGCTATTTCAGGGGTGGTTACCCTTAAAGTTGTATGTGAACACTTAGAGTTGTTTTCCGTGTGGTTACCCTTGAGGCCTTGACGTTCTAAAGTGACTGCCTAGCCATTTAAGGGGTGGAGGCTGGAATCAGCAGACGCATCAGGTTTTAAACAAACCTGATGAGTATTGTCTGGATCCAAATGTTTAGTTAAGGGACCAAATTGGTTAATAGTTGCTATGGTCATTTTAAACACTATTTAATTTGTTTTATATGTGCCCTACTTACTAGATTATTTCTTTATTAATTTTATTTTCTTAATATGCAGATCAAGGGTCAATATGAGAGATGTCATTCAGTTTCTACGACTTTGGGTGGAATTACATTCGAGATAGATGTGACAAGATGAAATGAAAAGATGAAGCTTATTATTTGATGTTAAGCGTTTAAGATACTTTAACAATTTTGCCATGTTTAGTACTATATTTATTTTATGTCGAAACCCTATTATATTAACAATTGTGAACCTTTGATTGTTTGGGATTGAATTATGAGTAGCATATATGTTTTGTTTTTATTATTATTTTACATCACTTTGCATATATAATTAAATGTAAAATATAATGTATGTACAATATAATACAAATTAATACTACTACCATAATAATAATAATAATAATAATA